CATTATGTGGCTGGAGAGAGTTCCAGCTTGTTATATATGTTCCTGCAGCAGAGCACCACTCTATACCTGCCTCCCTGGCTCAGCTGGCTGGGCTAAGTATGGAAGAGGTGGGTGAAGTCAGCTTGGTGAGCAACCCTGCCCAGGTCCTGCCCAAACATCAGCCTAGGAAAAGCCAGTTGTTACAGCTTTGCTTTCTTTTTGCTCAACCCCAACAAGGAGTTTATTGTTCACACTCAAACAATTTAAAATCTCTGCTTTCTGTCAGAGGCACAGGATATAAAAAAAGCAAGTAATTCTTGCTTAGGTCCTTGAATGATGCAAGCTGTGGTGGGTGAGACGGCAGGGACAGTTGCAGCTGTGTCGCTCAGCTGTGAAAAGGGGTTTTCTTGCAAAATTTCCGTTTGCCTCATCTCTTCAGCTTGTTTTATGTGCATCATCAGCGTTGTAAAGAAATACCAGCAGTGTTTCCTGGGGCCCCGGTGAGTCAGCTGGGGATGTTTGGGGAGGAAGGGTTAAGGTTAGGATGATGTTCTGCTTGCCAGAAGTACAGTGCTTGCTGGTGGACCATAGCCAGGTGCAGGCAATGATGCAGCCCCACGGACCAGGTGAACTGGTTCTCCCGTATCAGCCTTGCATCACTCCTTGGCTGCCAGTGCTGGGGTTTCTGCCAGCCACATTGGGCCAAGCCTCTCTGTGCATCGCGTGATCCTATTTTGCACTGAATTCTTCTGAAAGAAAACTTCCAAGCAGGAGAGAAAAAAAATTGTAAAGAACAATAACAATTTCTAGTGTGAATTTCTTGGAATAATCCTGGCAGCCTTGTATATAATTTTAGATGTGTTTGAGAAAGTGTTTGACTAATCATGGAGAAGGAATTATTTGATCTCTTCCTCACCAAAAGTAATTACTTAAACTGGCCTTTGTATTTGTGAAAATTCTTTTTTTTTTCCAACAGAAGCTGTTTAATCAGGCATACTTTACACTTTTGACTTAAGGTCTATCTTCAGCAGTGCAAAGGACATTTCTTGTTGTACTTCTAGAGAAGTTTCATCTTAGATCTAGGAATGCGCTGAAGGTTTTGCAATGCTGGGGGGAAAATCCCTCCACCAGATTTTGAATTTGCCTAACGTACTGGGAAGGCTTAAGGGGAGAGCTCAGGTTTATGTTCCGAAATATTTTTCATCTTCGCTTTTGAAGTTTGGCCCTGGGACTCATCTGCAAAAATAAAACAGGGAACAGATTGTTAGCTGAAATGCCTTCCACTCCTGAGTGACCCTGCTCTTCAGGCTTCAAAACCTTCACTTTGAATTAAAAACCACGGGTGAAGTTGTGGCTGTATCTCAGTTTGGGGGGAAAAATGTGAACTTCCTTTAAGCCAGATCTTTACCCAAAGTCTCTTATTTTTACCTCATTACACTTCCTTTTTCTGCTTGGAAGCAGAAGTTTGGAAATTATAATAGACCTCTTGCTGGCTGTGTTTCATCTCTGACCAGAACCCAGACAAAATCTGAATTTCACAATAAAACCTACTGTGAAAGTGCTGGTCTATATTTGCATTGATAAAGTTTGGGCAAGAATCTCCTTGAACTCAACACTGGACCCTCTGATGTTGGCTAACTGTCGTGGAGCTTTGTTAGTCCTGGCTTTATGGGACTTCTGTGAATTGGCTTAACAATTTTTTTTATTTTTTTTTTTAATTTGTGGTAGCCCTTTACTAGCAACAAGGTTTTTCTTAGTTTCCCACAGCTGGTCCGTCTTCAGCATTTCCTATGTGTGCTTCCTTTGCATTGTGTGTTGAGCACATTGAAAATACGGAGAAAACTAGGCATAAAGTATGGATGAGAGATGAAGAATGTGCCTATTGTCTAAATCGCTTGCAGAAGGATAATGGAAATACTGGGGGATTCTTTTGTGTAAAACATCCTATAGGAAGATTAAGTTGTGAAGCAGACTGTCTTTAGAAGTACAGAACTACTGTAAAGGCTGGGACTAGAGTTATGCAAAAGAGCAGGGCTTTGCATCCTCTGAATATGACAATTAACTTTGCACTTTGCCCATTAACTTTTACACATTAACTAAGTCACAAGGCTGTTTCATTGTGCATGTGTTAGACATGACATTGCTGCTGAATGCAGATGACTCATTTACTTGCCAAAAACATGGTTTATGCCTTTTTGTACCCCGGTTATTCGGCCTGTTCTGCCTTTCCTGCAGTAAAGTCATCCCCGTTCCATTTCCCCAGGGGCTGCCTTCCTCTATCATGATCCTTTCTGAGGGTCTTGCAGTCCTTCTGGTTTTCTCTTGGGGCTGTGGGCACTCAGTGGTTGATGACAACTGCAGTGGGACATCCCAACCTGGGTCCTGAGCTGCACCAAAGGCTGATTGCCTCAGGAAAAACATTCTCATTAGTGGCTGTGCCCAGATGCAAGCGCCTGGTTTAAAAGTGCACGTGCAGGAGGCTTTGTGTTGCTAGTGGCCGGCTCCACCTTTGGTTTGGGGTGACTACCTGGGAGTACTTTCTCTAGCCTGGAATTTTTAAAGCCATATCTCAGCTCTGTGTTAGGTTTGCAGTGATGGCAGCAGCAGAGGGACCAAGGATGAGGTGATTTTTGGGGTACAAGCATGGTGGCTGGGAGCATCGCCATGTTGTATCTGTATTCATGGTGGAGGATTATGACTTGGTGCATGCTGTAGAGTCGTGGTGCACCTGCCTGAAATTTCCCCAAAACCTGAGAAATTAGAATACCATTACTTTCCAGCCATACCCATGTTTACCAGGAGGGCTTCAAACCCCAGCAACAAATACAGCCAGGGGTTACAGTCAGGATGGGACAACTCTGACAGTAACTGTGGCATTATTCGTGTAATATTTTTTGCCATGCAGAAGTAGGGAGAAGTTTTTAAGTCAACCCAGAGCATCCTGCTGTTCCTGCTGTGGTCACTAGGATGTTTTCCACGGCTTCCATGGGAGCAGGGGCCAAACTCTGAACCCTTTTAGGAACTGCATGAGCTGCTTTCTGAGCTGGTGCTGGCGAAGCTGAGCAGAGCATTTCTGTGATTAATAAAAGCCCTGCATCCCCTGTCTTGAATCTGCATTGTTTTCACTGGGTTTGGGGCCAACATGGCCAATCACGGTGCTTGATAGTCCTAAAATGTTAGAAATAAAGCATACATTGAGCAAATCCCATCATCAAGTTTTCTCCACAATGATAGATAGTTAGCTGAGGAGTGTTGCTTCCTTCTCCATGGCTGCCCTTGCCCAGGTGATGCCATTCCAGAACGGAGAATAGGTGGACAGTCGCGCGTGTATCCCGCTCTCCAGGCCAGAAATATGGGATGCACTTTTTGAGTCATATGCCTTGCTCTTTTTGTGCAGTTGAAGGCAAGGCAGGATGGATGTGCAGTGTCCCCAGCCCCACCTTTAGTGCTACTACCGCTCCAGGGACTTTTCCTGTCCCGCTTTCAGCACAAGAGCATAGTGTTGGAGGAGGAAGGAGTGAGGTTGCTCACGGTGGTGAAGTGAGAAGGCAATGGTGCCCTTTGAGCTAAAGTGGTCTCATCCTTTCCCTGCATCCCTAAAAAGGAGTGGGAGGAAGAAGCCCTGGTTGTTGTATGCCTGCAGACAGAGAAACGGGAAAGAGATTTTTCCTTAACGAGAGGAAAAGTTAAAGGAAGTTTTAGGAACTGCTTTAATCATTAGCACCGTCTGAAAACCCAGTGCATGTGGAGAAGAAAAAAAAACGCTTGAGAATTGGTGATCCTATTCCTTTTCCTGATACCTCACTTTGCAGAGGACCTGCCATATCTGAGCCTCCAGCACAGCAGGATCTTGCACAATGTGTGCTAAATGTCTCTAAGGGTTAATTTGATCCTGGTTTCATCACTTGGTGCATCTGATCCCAGTAATTTTGAGGCACAGGCAGCGTCCAGGAATGTGAGAGCGGTGTGGGCTGAGAGCTGTCTGAAATGAAGGATGTGGAGGTAATTGAAGGGCAGGCACCAGACCTGGCTGGAGGGGAAGGGGCCAAACAAGGTAAAGGAATTAGCAAGTCCTAGCTCCAGTGTGAGGCGTGTTTGATTTAATTAAGACATGCAGCACTGGGGCAAGTAATGAACCGCTTGTAAGGTGCATGATGAAATCCAGTTGTAGCCTATTGAAAACAAATAGACTGGTTTCCCTCGAGTTTCCAGAATGTGAGTATGGATGGTGCTTCATTTTTACAGGTGTCATCTTGTGCTGCAGGATTATAGAGGGTGGATGAGCTGTTGTAACTCTTGAGAGAATTTTTTTATGCCATTGGTGAGGTATTGGCAGGGCATTGCTGAGTCTTTCCGTGTTATTTCCAGGGCTGTACTCCGTTCTGCAGATAAAAGCCTTCGGTCTGTAGGGCTGCTAGTTGGGCAGCTGTCACTGGTGCACTGTATGTTGGCTTCAATCGGCAAAATATCCTTTTGGAGGAGAGTTTATTTTACAGGTTGCAGAAATGTGTTTCCTCCAGAAAAAGGAAGGACTGTGTTTTGCTGAAAACAAGAACATTTATAGCTGTCTTAGTGGTTAATGGTGTTGCGAGGGTGGAAAGGATGAGTTTTTCTCAGAAAAAAAAAAAGAAGCTCAAAACCAACAGCCCACCCCTGTAGCGATCATCTTAAAAGCTGATTCCTCCAAATGCAGGATGTAGGTGATCTTGGGTAGGAATTGTGAGCTTGGCTCTCTGCAGAGACACTGACTGATGCATGTTAATAGACTCGTGTTTTAGCTTGGCTAAAGTGGTGCTTCATAAGTAGAAGAGTGATTCATGGGAAATTAATTCTCCCTTCTGCGTTAAAGTTTGAATGGGTAGCTAGTTTCAGATGCAGCATTTTTTTCTCCTAGATCTTTGCATACTGTAGTCATTACTTCTAAAGTGGAAATGTTAATTGCACTGTTACAAAAAGGTCTGTATTTACTTTCCTGGGTAGAGGGTGAATAAATAACTGCTAATAACTTTATTGCATTTCAGGCAGCAGCAGCAGGTCTCAGCTATGTTGGGGCATATGTCATTAACACCTACAAGAGCTACGACAACTTTCTGCAGGACAAGTATGCTCTATTGCCAGCCGTGATCATTATTTGCATCGCTGTGGTAATGTTCATCATCGGGTTGATCGGCTGCTGTGCCACCTTCCGGGAGTCTCGAGTTGGTCTAGGGGTGGTGAGTGCTGCACATTCTTGCATGTCCTATTCTTCACCCTGTTGCATGGTATGGGAAGTGCTACACTAGACCTTCTCAGGACACACAGAACAGAAAGTAAAAGATTATTCTGAAATATACCGCTGAAGCACTGCTCCTTCGTGGGAGTTACGTGCTGCTGTGAGGCACTGACTGATGGTGAGTGAGGTGCAGGCTAAATTATTAGTTGCACTGCCTTGTACAGACAAATACCCATGGGCAGTTTCACGGCTCTGCCTCAGCTAGCTTCCTGGAGATAGGTGTGGAGACTAGTCAGTTTTGAGAAGAAGAGTGATGGTGAGGGAACAGGAGGAGATGTGAATTTCCAAAGCAAGTTAAATAAAAAAAAAAAAAAAGTATTTTTCTGTTGACTTTAGTTCTCTGAATCCTGAAAGTATGCCTGCACTTCTTCTAGAATGATTTTTAAAAACCTGGAAAGGTTCAAGCTGAGTAACTTCAGGCCCGTAGCTCATGCCTTGAAGGCAGTATGAGCTCAGCAAGCAGTGCACAACATACCTAACTCAGTTGCTGGTTTATTTGTGCAGTGTCCTGTTCGACAGCTGCCTTGTGAAGTGTTTCGTAGGCTCTTCACACAGATCACATCATGGCAGTGTTCAGGAGACTGCCTACATTGGGCACAGATTCTGTGGAACCACAGTCATAGTCCCAGCCAAGCACAGTGATGTCCTATTCTAATTTATTTTCTGGAAACTATTTTGATTGGAGAGGCAACAACAGATAATGATAACTTATGACTATAAATTAATGTGATGGGTAGTGTGCAATTGAATTCAAATGCTGTGGAATTCTTCCTTAAAGTCTCTCTCTTTTAATTTCAGTTCTTGGCCATTATCCTGGTTATCTTTATTGCAGAAGTATCTGCTTTTGTCCTGGGATTTGTTTACAGGGAAAAGGTAAGTGAAGAATTAGCATCTCTGTACTAACCTAAAAATAAAGAATAGATCTTGCATTGTTAGAGCATTCCAATATATCCAGTTTTCTTGAATACATGAAGTACCTGGCAGGCATCGCAACAATCTCTAAGTTGAATTAAACAGTTGTTGATGCTCACAAAGGAGGGCTCTTCCATCAGGGGAGGCAAGCTTCTATCCAGGAATGTGATTCTGGTTAAGTGCTACCTGCATTTTATCTAAAACATCGCTTGCTTTTTATTTTTTTAAATTTTTTTTCCCCTGACTTAGTTGGGATACAGATCTTTTCCACTATCTAGTTTCCACTAGATAAAATTCTTAGCTCTCATGTTAAAACAATATGGTGGGTTTTTTTTCCCTCTCTACATAGGTAAAAACTGATGTGCAAGGCACAATGCACTCAGTCTTTGAGAAGTATGATGGGAAAAATCCGGAGTCTGCTGTTGTGGATTACTTGCAAGAGCAGGTAAGAAAACTTTTAAATTGTCCTGAGAATTATTTAGAAAAGAACAGTGGGGTCCTAAACAAGGAACTTGGGCTGGGAAGGCTGGGGAGGAGGGTCAGTATGGTCATATCCTGAAACTTGGCTCTGCAGCAGTGTTTAGCATCTGAATCTCCAAGGCAATTGAGGGTGCTCCCCACATTGCAGAGTTGGCCTTTTCAGGCTCCTGGTGTGAAGTTCATGTAAATGAATGACCTTGTTGACGTGAGTGGCCTTTGCATCAGACCAAACAAGTACATGTGAATAACTGCTGCTGCTGAGAATCCTCTATCATAAAATAAAAAGATGACAGAAGACTCTATCCTGCAACCTGTCACTTTAATATTAGATTTTTCACAAAGAATAAACCAATAAGGAGGTAATAATGTATGAAGGGAGGATGATCTATTATATCTACTGCTGTTTTCCTGAAGTACTGCTGCTTGTAAATCTGCTGCATACTGAGGGCAGCTCTTGCCCAGTATGCCTAGGAGAGGTTTAACTCAACACCAGCATTCATGTTTGTATATATTCATACATCCCTGTAACTGTCCTGTGTTTGGCAGCTTCATTGTTGTGGGGTAAAGAACTACAGTGACTGGACAACCACGCAGTGGTTTAATTCCACCGGTAACAACAGTGTCCCTCTGAGCTGCTGCAGGCAAGATATGAAGAACTGCACGGGCCATCTGGATCAGCTACAGGAACTCAATACACGGGTGAGGATAAAGGGCACAGTTGCACAGTTGGGCCATGATCATTCTCAACCAGCCAGAACCAACGAGGAAAAGCGCTTCAGGCAGGGTTTAGGGATAACTTAATCCAATTCTTTTCAGCGATTTCCTCCATTTCACGTTGCTACAGAAGCAAAGTGACAAGGCCCCAGCACTAGCTACGGGCACATAGTTGTTCAAACAAATCTGGGGTAGGGAAAGAGACTCTTGTAGGATTGACCATGCTGAATCTGGAGAACTGCATAGCAGGTTCTTCAGTCTGGGGCACAAGCCCATAAGTTGACTTTTATAGATACCATTGCTGATCTTCCTGGCTCTGAGTTTTGGGCACTTCTTTAAGTGACCTGAGCTGGAGGAGATTGAGAAGCAGAAAATGTCAGTGAATTGCAGTTTGTCAGTGCCTCTCCTCAAGCAAGAGGAGAACGAGAAGCCATCAGGTCTGGAAGACAAGAATGGAAGTTCTCAGGTCCGCAGTGGTTGGTTAGACAGGCCTTACAAGGTCCTGCTTCCTTTGAAGGGTTGGGGAGAAAAAAAAAGAAAAAAAAGTCCAGCCAAGTTAATGTCTTTTAACTTATTTTCACCTATCTCTTCCTTGGCAGGGCTGTGCAGAGGAGCTGGAGTCTGGGCTGCAGAGTGTTATCAGCTATGCCATGCTTGTAATCCTGGGGTTTGCCATTGTAAAGGTAAATGTTTCTATTTCTTCCCTCATGGAAAATAATACTGTTTGCCCTTTGATCTCAGGGCTTTTTCTTCTACCATGTCCTATTAGCCTACAGCCTTTTTCTGGCTCTGAAGTAGACCTAGTCCTCTGTTCCTCACTTGTTATTTTCCAGCTCACTCCATCTGCCTGACGATAAGGGGAGAGGAAAAAAAATCACTTTCTGTAGATGTATTTTCTAAGTGGTTTTTAATATGGAAGGAATGTCCTTGCTATAATGAAGCCTAATTAACATATAGGTGTTGAGTTTGATGACTGAAACAAAAAATACAGCAAAACTAAATCTCTTGTGCCCTCTCTCTTTTTCAGTTCTTCGGCATGCTGAGTGTCTGTGTGCTTACTTGCAAAAGAGAAGACCGTGGATATCAGCCTCTTTACTCAGGGGTGTTTGCTTAATAAAATGCAAAGATCACTTTTCTTTTGCTTCCTGATGATAAAATAGACTTGTAAAGATGAACGCTAAAGGACAATTTATGACCTTCGTGCTAAATATTTTGTGTATATGAAACAGAAAGAACACTGTGTATTGATTTGGGAAAGTTTCTTGCAGGTGATGTGAAATGACAATTTCAGTATTCAGTGATCTGAAGTAACGTACCCTGATCTTACATACCACAGCTTTCTGTAAGGTTGTTGTACAGTTGGATTTGCGACTTTAGATAGCACCAGATGGTGTAATAGACTCCAGAAAGAATCTTAGTTCTGCAGGTCTTTCCCCTTGAAACATGCAGAAGAAATGTTATTTTTAGTCACTAAACTGATTGAGACCACAGGAGGGGTTTCAGCTGTCTGCACAAACATCAGATGATTCCCATGGCATGGTTAAACAGCAAAAGAAACTTTTGAATGCCATGTTTAAATATTCTTCATAAGCATGGGGAGTTAGAATAAGTTTTCTCTATATCTGATAGTGTTTCTGCATTTTTTTTCACTCCTTTTTATGGTCATATGTTATAATTCAGTTTGCTGCAGAGGTGGTTAGTGCAAGACAACCCCATGTTTAAAGTCTAGAACAGACATTTGAGTTGTTTTTCTGAAGCAGCTAGCAAATGTGAACAATTCCAGGTTAGGAGGGGATGTGTGTTTTGAGCTTTTTGGGCTCGGGACATCTCTCTTTGGCTTGGGTTTTTTGTCTTTCTTTTAATTATTATTTTTTGACATTAAGAATTGCTTATGAAGCAGGGCTTTTCAAATTTTCTTTTTCCTCCTTTTACTGATGCTTTTATGGTTTGTCTACACAAAGACAGGCTATGTCTCTGTGTTTAATGTAGAGGTTGCGAGAGTTTCTGAGATGAATACAGGCTGGAAGATGGGAGTCACAGGACACGTTGGCTCGGTGTGGTTGTGTAGACAGGACTGCTGGAGGGGTTAGTGCAGCCGTCCCTGTGCCACTGAAGGTCTGACCGCTTTTCACCGCTAAAAATATTAAGATGATGCCTTCTTGTACCGAGCAATTTCAATAACCTATTGTCTGGACTCCTTGTTTGCTCGTTTTTCCGTTCTCCTTAAAGGTCTGTTGAACGCGGTCACTTCTTGGATTGCATCACTGCTTTAAAAATGGTCCTTCTTTAACTCATTTGGATGTTAATCTGTTTCTCAGTTCTTTAGGGGTTTTGGGGTTGTTTTTAGAGTTGGGGAGGGAGGGAGGGAACTACGAGCTATTCTTTATTAGAGAATTGGGGAAAAGCAACAGAATTTTTGCGTATTTTTTCTTCAGAGAGATAAGCAGTCTATCCTTAGCAATAAATGTTTATATCTGTAGCTAATTAGAAAAAAATGAGTTTGGGGTAAGTGTAAGCTGTTTATTTATGGTCGGGTTCTGCCCCCCCCCCCCCCCCCCGCGCACACG